AGTCGGTTCCGACTCGATGGCACCTGGCAACAACAGTGTTGTGAGAACTCAAAGTGATACTTAAAGATATTTTGGGTGTCTGAACCTCATGGTCTTGCAATGACAGTGTATGCATGTACAACATTGCTTGTTGTCTTCCTGGCTTATCTGCCATGACAAAGCAAAGCAGGCTACACATGCCATGGATCACTTTCTAAAGGGCCATTTTGGTATGTGAAGTTAAGGAACTGGGATTTTGAAAACAGCCAGAAGGTCCAGAGACCACTCTTCAGGGAATTTAAGTCATCTTGCAGATTTACCTTCCTATGACATCTTCAATAAACAGAAGAGGTCAAAATACCTTCATTAGGCAATTGCAGTGGGTTAAAGTTGAGCTGCAAACTGAAAGGTGGTGGTTATGTGTCGTGGAGTCGGTTACAATTCATAGTGACCCTGTCCAGGGTTTCCAAGGCTATAAATCTTTACAGGAGCAGAAAGCCTCATCTTTCTCCCGCAGAGCAGCTGGTAGTTTCAAACTGCTGACCTTGCGGTTCACAGTCCGATTCGTAACCACTCTGGTACCAGAGCTTCTTGTTCAAATCCATCACTTACTCAATGGGAGAAAGATGAGGCTGTCTGCTCCCATAATGATTTACAGTCTCAGAAACCCTATACAGGATTGCTAAGAGTCGGAACTGACTCACTAGCACTTAATAGCAGCAATGCCCACTTACTGATACTCCCTTCCCATGTCCTGTCTATAGGCATTGCTGCATTGGTTATGTACTGTGCAAAGAATTACAGCAAACTGCTTACAACAACAAACATTTAGTCTCACACAGTTTCTGAGAATCAGAAATGTGGGAGCAGCTTGCTGGACAGCTTCCGTCTCAGGGAAACCAGTTGATGAGGAAGACTACAAAGGGTCATTAACATATTTATTTTGTACGATATTTATTCTGTATCCTGGTGACTACATGAGTCTTTGCTATATTATTTATTTTGGAGGGGTGGGATGGAGAGGCACCTAAAATAGTTCATTGGTTAATGAACTATTTCCAAATGGGAGAAAGTAAGAACAAAAAGGAATAAAAGAAAACCAAAAAACCCTATAAATATATAAATCTCAAAATAACGAATCTTCCCGTACCTTCCATTTTAAAAATACGTTGTTGTTGTTATTGTTAAGTGCTGTTGAGTCATTTCTGACTCATAACAACCCTGTATAGGTTTCTAAAAGGAGCAACTGATGGATATGAACCGCTGACCTGTGATTAGCAGTCAAGTGCTTATCCTACGGTGCCATATCAGGTGTCTTTCCTCCCGCTCCTGCCACATCAACCTTCAATATAATTTTACAAATTGTTCTGAATTGTCTGTCTTCTCTCACTCCTCACAGCACGAACTCTGTCTCGAATGATTTTTTTTTTCTTTATGATGACTAATAGTTGGATCATTTCAGGTATTCAGATATTTGTATGTGACAGTGACAAGGGTGGTGACATCAGACTGTGAGTCCCAGGAGGGGAACGGTGGTTCCACCTGATGCCTTGGGGAGTAGATTCCTCCCATGCCCACATATGAATGGCATATGTGATGGGCACCAGTTTATCAGATGAACCCCATTTCCTTCCAGCTCCTCAAACTGGAAAATCTTTATGAATGATTCTACTCACTTCCATTAGAGAGAAAGAATTTTAATCCCAAGGCTAGACAATTTGAAGGTTCAACTATGGGAAGGTAATACTTTGTTGAAATATGCTTTCCAAACAATTCCCAGTATTGTGCAACAGAAGACTCATGGCCCAGCCAGTAACAATGCTCCCATTGACAGAGGTCTTGGCACATACATACATTGCCTTTGATTGGTCGGGCCAACATCTTAGTTAACCCACGAATGTTCCAGGCAAGACATAGGTAGCATGGAGACCCTCAAGTATCAGTCAACCAGAAGAGAGGACAAAATGTCCAGGCTCACATTGACAAGTTTGACGCCACGACAAGAAATCTTGACCTTGATTTGCCTTTCTTCCCTCAATCACTTTTAAGAATGGTGAAAAGTTTCTAGAGCAGCAAAAACATGAAGATTCTGTGGTTTGCTCTGCTTGACAAAAGGAAGTGGCATGTAAACTTAAATAGGTTGGTGGCAGAAAGCAGGCTTGAGAAGAGTTATAAAAGGGATCTCTTTTTATAACTGGGACATGAACCTTATATAAACATAGCACTTTAGCAGCCTGCGGGTAAGGTTGTGCTCTTCAGCACTAGGCTTGCTCTTGGTGTGTGTTCTTGGCTGAATCACTGTATCCCTTTATGTTCTGGAGTACTCTGAACCTTAACTTTATCCTCACCTTCTGTAAGGACTGTGAGAAGTTTCTGGACAACTATTTAAATCTCATGGGTGAATGTTTTCTAGAAATGTATCTACTTTTTATAATTTGGCAGGTCTGCTCTTTACCTACAGAGAAAAAGGGAGGAAAACAAAGCAGTATTACATTTACTGTCATTTCATTGTGGTTTTATCGTGCCCTTTCCTCCCCAAAGTCACCTTTCTTGATCATCTATAACAAGTTCAAAGGAAGGAAACCACTGAGTGAGTGCCCTTTTCCGCAAGATGATTTAAAAAAAAAAAAGGCCCTAACATTACTCCTCCCCACCCCCCACCCCCTGCCAATATGTGACTTTAGTTTCAAGCAGCTGGAAGGAGGAAGGACAACAGTGCGCAGAACCCAGTGTAATGTTTGGGCAGGTAACTCAGACTTTATGCCCTGCCGATGGGGAAGCACAAAGTTCATCAGTCAGCCTACAAGTGTTTACAGAATGTCTCCACTGTATGCAGTGCTGAGTTAGGCCATGAGGTCAGTGTGGTGTAATGCCAGTGTGGTAGACACCAGACTGGGAACCAAGAGACCTGCCAATGACTTCATTAAAAAAAAAAAAAAAAATGTATTACTTCCTCTTACCAGGACCTCAGTTTGTTTATGTATAAAATCAGAGGGCTGTAGCAGTTAGCTCAGAGTCCTGGTGTGGCGCTGTAGGATAAGCACTGGACTGCTAACCACAAGGTCGGTAGTTCAGATCCAACAAACCATATACAGGGTCACTATGAGTTGGAATCGACTTAATGACCCTTAATAGCAACAACATAAGGGTTAGCTCAGTTTTAGATTTCTTCCAACTAGAATGGTGGTAGATTCCATAGTAGACTAATGAGCTCCTAGACCACTGATGTCAAGGTCTTCCAGGTAACTGGGGAGTCCGTGATTGTACAGCTTGGCCCAGGTCACCCTGCATGTTCACATGCTTCCTCTGAACTTGCCATGGTTCTTGTTCATGTTGTCCTGGACATCTGACTTTGGGCCCTTCATTTGAGTATACCAAGCTAGTCCTGCCTCCCGGCTTTTTGCACATGTTGATCTCCTAGCTTTTGGCTTCCTATAGGAGTGGTGGCTGTTTCCTCCCTTCCCATCCGTTAGATCTCATCTTAGATGTCACCTTCTATATTGTACAAGTCTTTATAAAAGAAGGCCTTCCTTATTCTCATATTTTAGTATCCTTTCTGTGCATACTCATAATTTTTTTAACCATTTGTTTCTTGTTTTTTGTTTGTTTATCCTATCAGTTGGTTGGCTTCCTGCAGGCAGGGGCTGCTTTCTGGTGGCACTGTGGGATTACCTTTGGCTTGCTAACTCACTAGCTGTTCCTTGTGACCGATATGAGGCTGGCTCCTCCAGTAGAGACTGATAGCCTTGGAAACCCATCAGCTGACAGTGGGGGTTTACTTTTAGAGTACATATTGTCACCGAATGCTTCACCCATCACACCATCTTATTAAATGAGTGACTTGGCATTGCCGTAACTCTGAGGCATGGAATGGTATCCATAGTTTCCCAATGAAGTCCTCTTCTTTGAGATTCTGTTGTGTCAGACTGGGTTGAGGGGATGCAATAATTTCCTCCCCATTGCCTTTTTTTTGGGGATCAGTATTCCTTTTCCGGAAGGAAAGGGGAGCTTATGACATCATGGCGCTCTCCCCTGTGCTGGAGTGACGTCATTACTGGCACTCAACGGATCCCAAGTCCCTTACCCTTCCCTACCAACTATCCCTCCGCCCCCAGAACTCCCACCTCCGCGCACCACGCCTGCTCCCGACGCTACGTCACATCCGCCCGCCCGCACACCGATGACGTCACACCACGATACTGGCGTCACGTGCCTCCCGCTGGGGGCGGGCCTTGAAGGCGGAGCTTCCGGTCCGCGGAGCTTGGTGTCCCGAGAGGCTCCGAGGGCCGAGACGCGGGGATGGCGGGCTCCGGGAACGAGGCCCGCTTTGCGGGGTTGTCGCTGGTGCAGCTCAACGAGCTGCTGGAGGACGAGGGGCAGTTGGCAGAGATGGTACAGAAGATGGAAGAGGTGAGCCGGGTGGCGGCGAGCGCCGGGGCCTCGAATTCTGTGGAGAGAACTGAGGCGGGAGATGAGGGGCTTGAGTCGGTACTCGGGGAACCGAGGAGACGGAAATTGAGGTCCCGAGACGGCTTGGGAAATAGGTTGGGGGTCCTGAGACGAGCCTGAGCGGGCTGACTCCGTAGCGCTAGCGGGGATTACTGAGCCTGGGAGAGGGATCTGGGGGCGTAAGGGGCCCTGGATGAGGGGCGACGGAGGGAATTGCGGGAGCTGAGGTTGGGCTCGAGGCGGCCTGAGGAGGACCGGCGTTGAGTGTGAGCAGGGGTCGGGGGCTTTTGAGGCGGGGAGGTGAGGCAGTTACTGGGGTTGGGGAATGGGCTGAGGGGACGAGCTGGATGGGAGTTTAGGGAGAGAATTGGAGCTGCGTGTCTGTGTGAGTGGGGTCCGCCTGGAGACGGGCCGTAGAGCTGGTCTCGGAGGGGGAGGTCTCTGAAGTTGGCCGTAGCCGAAGTTTTGAGGAGTCTGTCGGAGGGGCTGAGCTGAGGCGTGATCGTCCGCGGGGTTCTCCTTGTGCTTGGGCCTAAGGGTGACCGCGGGATCCCTTTTTCCATAAGAATCACAGCGTCTGTGGAAGGAGTTGGGGGGCCCTGGTGGCGCGGTCATAAAGCGCTGGGCTGCGAACCAGAAGGTCGGCCATTCGAATCCACAGTCCGCTTTTTGGGAGAAAGCTGAGACCGTGTGCTTCCGTGAAAAGGGCAGCCCAGGAAACCCTATGGGGCATCTCTCCCTCTCGTCTGCCCTGTGGGGCTGCTGTTGGTATTTGGGGTGGGGGGAACGGTGAAAGGAGGAGATCTGGGTGGGACAGGCTCTGCCCCCCAGTGTCTCCCCGCCTGGAGCTGTTTCCGGGTGAAGATAGAGTGAAGCCTGGGACCAGTGACCCGTCCCACCTGTTTGGTAGGCAAGCGGCACGTGTGTCTGGTTGTCTCAGGGTCCCGCGTGGGCATGCGGCTCAGGTGCCACGGCTTCGCCCCTGCCCCACCCACGGACCGTGCTCTTCCTTCTCCCCCGGCTCCCGACGCCTTGGGAAAAGTCGGACCCTGGCTGATTTCCCTTCCCGCCATCCAGCACCCTCCTCGTTTGTTTCTTAAGTCAGCCTTCCCACGCCCGCCCGCCCGCAGTACTAAGCCTCTCACCCAGAAGTCCGTGTGGGGGGCTTTTGACTTTCTCTCCTAAGAAGGATTGTTCAGGACATTGCCAGCCCCCTTTCAGAGGGGCTTGTCGGGAGCTTGCACATTCAAAACCACTGGAAAATCTTCAACAGATCATTGTCCCGAGCCACAGAGAGGCCACTGTAGTTAAGATGGTATCAGTCTTTCCATTAATACACCCCTTGTATTCACGGGCTTTGTAACTTGGCGCGTAAAACTGTGCTCCGACATGCAGTTCCCTGGGGGGTTCATGGCCTCTTCATGACATTTTCCATTTGGGAGAAGTGACAAAATCCATCTTGTTTGACTGAATGAATGGGAGTTTCACGTCTCCAAAGAAAGAGTCTTTGCTTTTCAGTTTCTCTGCTTTCCAGTTGCCAGGAAACCTTGTGTTAATTTTCAGTAGGGCAGCTTTCTAGTTTAATAATAAAATGATAGATTTATTTCTCAAATGGATAACATCGCCTACAAGATCATTTGCTTTCCATGTATCCTCTCTTTCAGTAAGAACAGAGTTTTGTAGGTGTATTGGGGGAGCGCTAAAAGAAATGAACAGTCTTTCACTAGAGGGAAGGCTATGGAAAAAATCTGGTTAATTGCACTGATTTTGAAGCTGTTAGGGATTGTTTCACCTGTTTCCTATATTTAACCTCCCAAACCAAACCAGTTGCTGTCAGTTCTGACTCTTAGGCACCTTAGTTGTTGTAGTGCTGTGGAGTCCGTTAGGACCCATAGTGATCCTGTATAGCGCTTCTGAGGAGCCGCAGGTGGTTCAAACCCACTTTGCGGTTGAGTGCTTACCCTACAGAGCCACCCTAGAGAAGAATAGAATCGGCCCCACAGGCTGTCATCCACAGACAGATGACCACATCTTGCTCCTGCAGAGTAGCTGGTGGGTTCAAACTGCCAACCTTTGGGTTAGCAGCTGAGGTCTTAGCCCTGCACCACCAGGGCTCCTGTCCGGTAACTAAGATCCTGGAAGTTAGTGCTTTTAAAGGGAAAGGCCAATTCTTAAACAGAGTTTTTGTTTTTTCCATTTTGGTTTCGTACCTTTCTTTTGCGTAAAGGTGACCTTCATACTCAGAGTACTTTACACACCTACTGAGCACTGACCTCCTCCGCTTGATTAGACCACATGGATCAAGTTAAATTACTCAGCAGTAGTTTGTTCTTCAGGGTGTAATGCCTTTAGAACCAGGAAACAACATGAAATCCAAAATGACCCTAACCAGGGTCACACTTTGCAAATCCTGTTGCCCTGGGCGTGTGTGATGGGTTTTAAAGGAATGGGTGTGATGTTAAGCCTAGGAAGTTTTACTCACCTGTTAGTATTGTACACTGGTTTCTTTCTGGTTGGTTGTGCAACATACTAGAAAACACTTGTTCACTGTTAACTTTGAGCAGATGGGACATTTATTTTGTGGTGTTCAAAAGCATTCAGGCTATGGGATGACCTAGCTGTTTTCCAGTTGTGCGACCACAGTCAAGTCACTTAACTTCCCTGAGCATCTGCTAGGAAGGGGTCATTAAATAATGGTCTCTGTTTCTTAGGTTAGACAGTGCCTGTAAGTACTGAACGCAGTGCTCAAGAGTTTGAATTGTCATGCAGAGATCTCTCTTTTCTGACATAAGTCACCTCATCCTTACATGCTAATTGGGTCTTACATGCTAATTGGGTCTTATTTTTAGACACTTAGTGAATTTTTGTCATTAGCCTAAAAAACATCTCACCTGTTTATGGCCAAAATGCAGGAGCCTTGTTGGTGCAGTGGTTAAATGCTCGACAAACAAAAGGTCAGTGGTTTGAATCCACCAGCAGCTCTGAAGGAGAAAGAGGGGGCAATCTGCTCCCATTAGTGTTTATAGCCTTGGGAACCCTATGGGACAGACAGTTCTACTCTGCCCTCTAGGGCTGTTATAAGTTGGAATCAACTCGGTGGCAACAGGTTTTGTTGTTAATAACGTAGTAGTTACTAAGCGCTCAGCTACTAATTACACATCGGTAATTCAAATACCACTGTGGCTTTGCAGGAGAAAACAACGTGCCATCTGCTCCCATAAATGTTTGCAGCCTCAGAAATCTTAGGGGTCCTATAGGCTTGCTATGTGTTGGAACCAACTTGATAGCAGTGGGTTGGGTTTTGGTTTATGGCCCAAATGATTATGTGTTCACTTGGTCTGGGGTGAGGCAGTAAGTGGACCAGGGGCATGAATCTCTTAAAGTTGAACCTTAGGCGGCTGGCTGCTGCTGCTTTTTTTTTTTAATTGGTGGAAGAAAGCGTTTTAAATTGTAGGGTACGGGCCTCTTCCAGCCCAAGGGGATATTTAGTGGTGACAGGAAAGTGTGGCTAGGTTTTGCAGGCATTCACGTTTGGGTTTGAACACAGCTGTGTATTATTCTCCACTTACATGGATTTAATTGTAAGTTGGAGTTCTAGCACAGCTCAAGACGTTGAAACAATGCCTGACTGTGGACATTCTTACTCTCTGAGTCTATGGGTGTGTTTCTCTTTTCCTGTTCCTCTTAACCGTTAGGTAATTCCCTGTAAATGTAGTCGAACCTCTGCACTTTGCTTTGGCTGTAAACTTTCATATGTACAAATGTCTTAATTTGATTTAAACTTATTTTTATATAGTCACGGAATGCGCCTGTCTCTCTCTATCTGTGTGAGTGAACCCCTCTGGACTTGCAGTGTTCTCCCTTAAATGGATCCCGTACTGAGGGGAGGAGGCAACTGGGGCAGACCTCTTGGGTCACTCCTCCAGGGATGCTTTCTGGGTAATGCTGATTGATTGGTGCTACGGATTGATTCCAATAAGGATTCAAATGAAGGATCTTTGTTTCTGGGCAACCAAACATGCCTCCATGCAAAAACTGCCAAAGCAGGCTGGGTCTAAAAGGCTAATTGTTTTGTGGGAAGTAGAGAGCTTTGGTCTAGAAGAAGCTGTGTCTCTGATGTATGTTCTGGTGTAACTTGTGTATGGGGCTGTGAATCATAATGGCTCATTGAAATGTACCAGCCGTCCTTTAATTCCTGGGGCGCCTGCTTCCCAGACAGACAAGCGCTTTGCAGGCCGATGGCACTGACTTTTTTAGAGGCTATGATGGAAACACCTTGAGTGTTCGCCACAGGCTTTATACAGGTTGTATAGTTGGTCTTGGATACGTAAAGGGATTAACTGTATGTTTACATCTTTTCTTCCATGGGCCTGTTACTTTAAGCCCTGGGGGACGAAGAGTACCTTGTGTGCCCAGGAACATTTTCTGAAAAGCAAGTTTGTAAAAGGAGGCATTAAGATTTAGTGGCAGCACCTGAGAGTGCTGTGATTTTGCTTGTTATTTAAACTCTGAGCTTCTAAAGGAAGGGTACAGAGAGACCTGCCTTGTGGGGTTCTTAGAGGTGAGCTGTAATGACAGTTGTTACTAGTCATGATAGTTGGCAGTGAGGAAGTCTTCGAGAGAGGCTGGCTGGCTCCACACATCCTGGGGGAGGGCACACGTCAATCTGCTCTGTTTCTTCATGTGAAAGAAATGTTGTACATTATACATGTAGAACACTGTTTGTTTATCCATTTATCAGTAGGGCATTTGAGTTATTTTGGTTGTTGAGAATAGTTCTTTGCATATTTGTGAACAGATTTTTATGTAAACATGTCTTCTGTTCTCTTCAGAATATGTCTGGGAGTGGAATTGCTGGGTCATATGGTCATTCTGGAGTCCTGGTGTGGCACTAGGGGTTAATGCACTGGACCACAAACTCAGTTTGAACCTCAAGGTTGGCGATTCAGGCATACCAGTTG